TCGTGTAAATCTATTTTCAAGCCTTTTAAAAGTTGATTTCTACTTATATATATATTTATTTATTTATTTAAAAGAGTTTCAAGTGGCAGGAAAAATGCACGGGCGCGGAGAAAATTTATCTCTCAGGTACGATTGTTCTATTACAAGTTGAAATAAAATGCAAAATTCATTGGTTTCTCGAGAAATTTGTATTTCACACTCATTGGCTGAAATATTAAATCAAAATTATATCCGCATACCGATCATTAAACTATCTTCATAATTGAATTATTTTGTATACAATGTTTTAAAAATATATATACATTAAATCTTGAACGTTAGAAGCATTAATATTAGCGTCGTAAAATATTTACAAGTTCGAGCACCGAGTTCCTTGCTTTCTTCGAGATAGTCGGCTTTGAGAAAATTTGATCAATGGTTTCATAAAGTACGCTACACTTAACAAAACACGCATTCTCAATTTCTATGTGGCACAGCTTGAACGGCGCCACTTAAAAATTGCTTTCATACGAAGTTTTCGTTTAAAATTCATCAAAAATCTAAAAGAAAAAGAAAAGATCGTGGAAGACATAATCGTTAAATAAACTTATATGCGCACAACCACAGCGTATGGATAAAGTGTCGGTCGAGTGTCGCAATGGGTGTATAAAAGAGTGCACCACGGTTTTTATCACTGGGTCGACGTAAATCACGTGGAATATTTATACACGATGAGCGAGAAGACGAATGAAATATATATGTTAAGCATGTGTATGTGCGCGAGTCGGCTGAAAAAAAAGAGACGTGCGTTTGATTCGTCGGTGGGCTTTTCACTTCGATCTTCTTCATCGTTGATGTCGAGTTTAATGCAATGAAAATTTAACTGAAAGTTACACAACTGAATTTTTATTTTACAATAGATATAAACTTAATTGAATTACTAATATAATAAATCTTTATGTACATCAATTATTCACTATAATTTGATGTATTAAAAAATAAAGTATAATAATTAAATTAACGAATTTTAGAACTATATTATTGGAAAATTAATTTTCATATTCTAAATTTTGTCTTGATGGGTACGTTTATTCAAAGAGATTTATAGCTTCTACTCAATGAGATATAAAAAATCTATATTTATTTAATAGAACTAAATTATTTGAGAATTTAATTCTCAACAACGTTTGGTAACACACACACATATATATATATATATATATACATATGACAGTGTATGTGAATTAAACAGATGATTTTCTTCAATAGTACGTTTTTATTTAATTGCCTTTAGACAACGATATTAATGATAGAAAAAGAAAATTAATTCCCTTTCAACTCATATGTTTAATGAAATATTTCTAAATGGATACATTCATACATTAAAATACAAATAAAGTGAATAATTCTAAATGTACATATACCTAAAGTAATTTTATGTCTACAAATTTAAACACTCTCCATCTATATATTTTTCCTGATATTTTATTAAAATACATTACTGAAAAGCTAATAAGATTATTTAATTTTCTTTTTTTATATTATTCTAAGCATACTAATAAATATTCGCGTATATAAAAATTAAAATTCATGTTGTAATCTGAAAATTTATTTCTTGTAATTATGCAAATCACAGCAAATGATCGCAATATTTCCATATACTCAATTACCTTAAAATCTTATAAATTTATTTGAAACGAAAATTTTTTCAGTTTAAAACTAAAAGACCCATAAAAATTAACAATAATTAATAAAAAAATTTAGCTATTTGATTAAAAAATTTAGACATTTTCAAAGTAAAGATTTCATAACAATTTATGAAATTATCATTATTTTACTCAAAGCCTATTATTATCATTAATAAAGAAAACAAGCTGATTTTACGGTTCATTAGTATTAGTTTTATATATAACAATGATATTACAAATTTATATTAATATTAATAAATAATCTGATTATTAACTTTCCATTTATATTTAAATATTCTATTTATGGTAATTTATTTAATACATCGATCGCCTCAAAGCTTAAACAATCGGTAAATGAAAAAAAAAAATTAAATATCGATAAGGTGCATCAGTTAACGTAATAAACTAATGACGTTAATTTGCAAAAGGATGTAAAAAGTTGTTTTCTACATTTTTTCTTTTTTTTTAAAATAGAGGTGGTTTATAGCTAACTAACTAATCAAACTAATACAAATGAAGGATTAATAAAGTAAATCATTGGTATCTAAATAGTTAGAGAGCGAATAACAATGGTAGTATGAATTTATGTTGAAGAGTTAAGATTTCCGAAATATTAATTTAATTAAGCAATTGGAAACAAACGCTCGTTTCAGCATCCTACGAAAATGAGGTGAAAGCTTAAACGAGAAAGAGCGTAAGCAAAAATATCGGCAGTCGAGTCGAAGAACGCGCCGATGTCGAGTAAAAGGATCGTCCTGAGAGGTTAGAGTTTAATCATCTAAATATGGGAAAATAATTCAACTTACCGGTGTGAGTCCTCTTGTGCGCCTTGAGGTGCGAGCTCTTGGTGTAAACCTTATCGCATCCGGCGACATCACACCTGTGCACCTTGCGCCGCTTGAGGGCATCCCCACATTCGCCATCGGCGACCCCGAGGCTCGTCCCGTTGCCACCGACGACGGGGGCATTATTACCTCTGCCCCCGAGACCGATGCCGGACGTCAATGCCGGCCGTTTATTATGGAATACCCTGTGATTGGGAAAATTTCGAATATCAGTGGAGTTCTTGGCATTTCAATTAAAGTCTCGATTAAACTCGGGCATTTATTATCTCGTATGCGTAAATTTGACATTTGTGACGTGCTAAGGGGCCGGATTTTACTTCAACATCTCGGGTCTCTCGCTAGATAGTGAATTTTCTCTGGCTTACTTAATTAAGCGTTTAGATAAAACTAAATACATATAAATTATGAAGGCATTTGCCATTTAACTTGCAAACTTTTGTATGACCAGTAGATATTTATCTTTGTCCCAAGTAAGCTTTTAGATAAAATTCCTTATGCTGTAGTGCAACTGAAAGGATATTTGATTTAATTACAGATTAGATTATGAATATACGCAAATGATAAAACTCATAGAATTATTTATTAAACATATTCATAAGGACAAAATATATTGTCTCATATTTATAGAAATCATTTTTCTCTATGTAAAAACAAAGAACGGAGCGTTTTTTAAAAGATATAAATAAATCTACGGTTGTTGTTAAAGCATTTTTATTAATTTAAAATAAGTAATATAAGTTTTTATTTTATTTATGCTTAATTATAAAATATAAATATTAAAAATAATTAAATATATTTAATTTATATTCAATTTTTCTTTATAGTTTTGAATGTAAATTTGAAAATATATCTTAAAATACTTACAGTATCCAACGTATTAAAAGTATGAAAATAATAAGATTAAGTATTTTACTTAAGACAACGAGTTGCCATTGTAACATTTGACTAATTATTATTATTTAATTGCTAATTCAATACTTAAAGCAAACTGTGTCAACAAGTACGATATTCTTTTACCGTGAAACTTATTTAACATTTTTGGTCATAACCTACTTTTCTTAAATCTAATTTAATAGTACGTTCACATCTTTGTTTAAGTTTACTTTAACGTTTCGCACTTGTTACTTCATCTTTTAAGACTTTATACCCTTTTTTTTGTTATTAGTCATTCTAAAGACATACATTGCTTGTGAAAATAAATTATTTTTGCAATGTTGACGAAGCCTAGAATTTCATACTCTAGCCATCTTCTAATATTTTGTATTATCAATCCTTTGATTCCAACGATTTTAAAACGTATTTAATTATTTAATTAATTTACTATAAATTTAATATGCATTACAACGATCATTTTAATTTAAATACTCATATTATTCTAAAATCTATTTTGATTTATTTATTATTTATTTAATGATTTATTTACAAGCAAATTGAATAAGATGCACAAAAGTCCATCTATTTGCTTGAAATCTTTAATAATTTGACAATTTAATACGTTATTTTTATGCATACTTTATGACATTCCCATAACGCATATTACTTTACAATCAATACAAGTAACGCGTTCTTAAAACATATTTAACTTGGACTAAATCTCTTTTGATTTTATATTTATTAATATCAACGAGTATATTTATATCGCTGAATGTTACGAATATACAGTACGTAGCTTTGCAAATTTTAATTTTGTTTTTCCCTGATGGTTGTTTAACTATTGACATGTTAATGTCCATATTATTTCTTGTCGACCTGCTATTTGTAAATCTGCATTGATAATCTATAATGATATATTCAGCATAGGATATGAGCATCGCTAATAAAAACGTTAGAAAGAATTTTGCGATAAGTATAGTATAATGAAATGCCTGCATAATTGTACATTATAAATGCGTGTTTAATATTTTTCTCTCAAAGCTGAAATAATAATTAACTCTTACATTTCTTTGGGCATAATCGCATATATGATAATAATAATTTAAATAAAATATTTACAATAAAATTTAAGTGCTTTAGAAAATATTTATTATGCTACAAACTTGACTTATTAATAAAATTACTGGCTAGAAAAATAATTTCCCATATTTCAATTTTAATTGCTTACTGTGCGCTTTCACTCGTAAGTTTTCCCAATATGGGATCATCTTCTGATCTTAAATTTCACGACTATATGCGAGAGCTTTAATTGCAATCCTTAAAAAATATGAATTACAGAGAAGAAAGGCCAAACAAAATATAATCTTAAGTAGCAGAGGTTAGTTCTAATATTATTTACCGTTGCACAAATATCAAATTTCAAAATAATCTTACAAATCTTGCGTAATTATAAATTTGAAAATTATTTTCAAATTTGTATTAAAGCCCTATTTCAGTTAATTACTACGAAACATACATGGAATTTAATTTCTTTTGCGCTATAATAGAATTATTTATATTTTACTCACACTAATGATTATAATATTACGTATGAATTAAGTGGAAAAAGAAAAAATAAAGAAAAAAAAATGGAAAAACATTCTACACATTAGGTAAATCATAATTATAAAATAACTGATTAGCTAATTAGATACTAAAAAGCGCAAGCATCTGCTTTAATAACTCTTCGTGTATTTTAAGACGAGATCAAGTAAATTTTCGATTACCTTATAGTTCTAGTTAAAATTCCGTTTGCTAATCTAAATTATATTTATCTAATCTTGTAAACGCGTGAAAAAAACAAAAAAAAAACAAAAAGCAAAAATCATAGTAAATTAATTGAAACGTTGAAATGGGCACTAATGCTTTTTTTCGTCCATCTCAACATTTATTCGGTCATACGCTTGCACATGCGCTACGCTGATTTTTTTTAGCCAAGTTCGAGCCAATGCGACCTTGACAGTGATTATGACAAGAAACCCTGTGCGATAAAATGAAGCCGAGAGCGAGACAAGATTACCAGGCGCAATGTCTTCATTCGTCATCCGTGGCTTTGTATGTCGCAGTCGCTCTCCGTTTTTCTTCGCGATCGACCTGCTTCTAGGAGGTCCGAGGCCGTTTATCGCTGTATTATTACATTTCACTTAGATTTCAAGAATGAAAAATTCATTGGTTTAGCCTCGTGGAGTTTTTCCAGGCGTTTTCACAAGTATACGAGGTAGTGGTTCTTGCAGATACCGTCACAACAACTACCATTTGCCATTTATAGAGCATCAAGAACGACTGTCCCATCCACCAAAGGATTATTAAGTTTTTAATTCTTTATTTCATAGCGTTTGCTCTCAAAAATCAATTCATTAGCTCGATCGCCCGACACGGCTTCCAACTGCTCTAAGGCTTATAAATATTTTTTCTACGTTTTCTCGTGTATTACCTCGGATACAAGCTTATGCTAGTATAGATCGCTAAGCCATATTATTATTTGCTACGTTTACTAATTTTTTTTTGTCTAAATTAAAACTTTACGTATAATAAATTACGACATTATTTGTTGTCATTTACTTCTTATAACTTTTTATGCTTCTTGCCAGATTACAATAAAAGTTTTACAAATACTTAAGTTCAGTAATAATTTATTTAAAATATATATTTGTTATACAGCTAGCAACTAATTGGATATTTATATCATAATTTCATGGCGAATTATACTGTGTTATTCTAAACATTATCATGGCATTCAAAATATTAAAATTAATTTTATTATTTAATATATATATATATATATATAGGAACTAAATAAATAAATAAATATTTAATGAAAGCTTTATAAAGAAATTTAAAAATTACTTGACGTACAATGAGAGCTAAATGCTCGAAAGTATGCATTTATACACATCAGTTTACCTCTGTCGTTCAAAAAACTTATGTCACAGAGCTGTCGTTATAATTATAATAACTAAATGCTATGTACTTTTGTTAAATTAAACGATTCGATTCAAGACGATCGACTTTTAACTGTTCAATTCATTAATTCTAGTAAAAAGTACTCGATACTCGCACAAAAGAGCCAAAAGAAAGATCTCGTAGATAAAATGTCGCAGGGAGTATTTTAAAGCAATAATATCCCAAATTGGTCAATAACTTTCGCTTGCTGCAAGATGTCGCTCACACCTGTCAACTTCTTACGGTTTCTCTGTAGCCAAGTGCACTCTCCGCTTTAGCCTAGCACTTTTTATTCCCCTTCTTGTACGATTACTATCGGAATAATCCTACAGCTCTCACGTTTAAGCGTTTGGAAGAAGAGGAGCCGGTCGAGAGTAGCTTTTTCATGGCAATGTTACGTTTAAGTTTAAGTCAGAAAAATACCTTGGGCTAATTTATAAAAGTGAGACTCTCCCGTTATTGTTCGGCTGGTAACATTATTATTTATGCTATTGTCAAATCGCTTGGCCAATGAAAGTGAATAATATTAACTAGAAATTTCGACAAAATCACTTTTTCCCATTTCCCACTGCCTAATAAATGCTCACGTACGTGCAAACATCACTCGAGAATAATATAATTGAATGGAAACGCACTCTGAGAAATTTCAAGCTTTCTTGCAAAACCCTATTAATTTCATTAAAAATATATTTAAATAGCATATTATATTACAATTTACATGTATTGTATGTGCAAATTTATTCGTTTTAATAGAGTTGATGTAAATTTTGTAGCACGTATATAAAGATCCCAATGTCCGCTATTCTGAAAAAGATGTTTGACAGAATTGTTTTTAAATTTGTCAAATTAAGCATTCTCGCGCAAAATAATAATAATTATTATTATTCTTACTTTTTTCGACAGTTTTTTTACTTTAAAGCACCATAAAAGAGCTTATACGGACATTTAAAATGAGGCTTTGTAAGAATTCTTAAAATGGAAAAGATATTCCTATGAAAGTTCGTATGACGTTAAGATAAAATAGAATATAAATCAATATGGATAATACAGTGGCTGGCTCATGATGATAGGAAGGAATTAAAAGACAGAACTAAAAATAAAAATAAATAAAAATAAATAAAAAAATCGCGGGTCAAGCATAATATCGCTGAACGCAATCGACATGGTAATAAATACGAAAGTGCGCCGCTGAGGGCATCAACCTCGACAATTACTGCATGTCAATCCGGGCGGGAAAAAGCGCCACTTCGACACCGAGACTCTTGAATTACGCAAGTGTGCGTGTCGAGGGGGCCGGTCATCGAGCAAAATCATTGCATCTCGGCAAAAAGGAGACGACGTTATTCGGCTGCCTCCGAACGCCGAGCCTCTCCCGAGCTCCGAATCAAGGAGGCGCGTCCACTTCGTGTCGGCGAGGACTTAACCAGCGATCGCGATAAAGGCGCTCGATTTTTCGTCTTCTTTTTCAGGTACTGACCGAGAAACGGGCACAGGTGCTTTCGTGAATTGGAAAATGAGATGGCCAGCGTACGCCCAATAATATTGACGTGTTACTTTATGGGCGCGCTAATAACGGCATTCCGAGGAATGCGACGCCATGTAAGGACGCGTCCTTTATATTCTTTTTGCGGCTCCAGCGCGAGTCGTCCACTGAAATTTCATTCCCTTGATCCACGCTGATTTCGGTTTATTACCGAGAGTACAGCGAGTCAATCAGCTTTGTTAATTTGACGAGGAGGCGAAGGCTTTTACGCTCCAACTTACAATTACCCCGGTATTTTTAAGAATTCCGCGAAAATCATCGTGTTTATGAGGCGCGCATTTATTTACTTTATGACTCGCATTTTCGATGCTGCGTGACAACGAGGGATATAGACGCCTGTGCATTTTGAAAATGGCCGCTCGAGTCGCGAGCCCGATAACAGCGGACCGGCACTGACACTGTGACCGGGCCTCGCGCAATGCGCTTAAGTTTCTCAAATTTATGCCCGCCAGTGCATTTTTAGCCACTCATATCAAAACTAATTTCAATCCCATCAGGCAACTATCGCTTTCACATCCCTCGCGACTTAATCCCACGGCAATGGTGTCCCAATCATCCGTGCAATAATTGCTCAATCAGCGCCGTAGCTCGTGATTTGTGAAGCCGACACGCCGTCCGATATGCCGTCCTTTCCGCAAATTTGTCAGCTGCAATTTGTCATTGAGCATATCGGTCGATAGACGTGTTTCCGGCTCCCGCTAAACGCAAAAACAATGCCTTGATTTATCGGCCGCTCATTACCGATTTTCCACTTCGGGCTTTTTTCCTTGGCGCATGGTAGCGGCAGCTCGTCGGTACGTTCGTACGAGGGAATAACCGGACGTACGAGACGATATGAGCCAGTTAGTTTTATACGTGACAAATTTTCAGGCCCGAGTAACGCGACAAGGAAACGCTGATTTACGAGTTCATATCGCCGCGTAAGTTGATTAGAAAAAGCATAGTCGATGCCTTGATTATTGGCGGATTATAGGAGGATTTTTAGCTTTCTTTTGCCTCGGTATGCTACTGGTCGCGGCATTTTTCACGTCCTTTAATGAATTTCCGTGCCTTCGGATTCCTCCTCCTCGGCAACATATAATTCAAGCAATTATTATAAGCTCGGCTATGCTATCGCGCTCCGACGTAAATAAAAAGCAATTATTTATTTCTTGCCGTCGAAGAAAATAAGTGGCAGCGCATTGTGGGCCGGAGTACCATTCGAACAACTCCGAGCTGTTCAGAATTCTTTTCAAAAGATAATTTATTATTGACATTAAGTATTCACGCGCATATTTATTTTAATGTAATACCCCATCAAAATTGAAATATAGTTATGAAGCCTTGATTTTATAATTATAAATTATGATGATCGTATTTTCGCATTGTTCCGTAAATGATTGAAAACAAAAACAAGACAAAACAAAACAAAACAAAAAAAAAAAAAAACAATCAAACAAATAAATACAAAAAAATTTATGAACTTAACCGAGTTTAAAATTCAATAAATATATTCGATTAATGAATGAATCGGATCGTTCACCGAGTGTCGATTTGTCACTGTATTTTATTTAAAAAATAGTAAACGTTATGCAACCAAGTTGGGATATTGCAATGCTAATAATATATTACAAGTAATACTGATTTTTATATTTCAAATGCTCAATCGACTGTTTGATACAGATTTTCACATTAATGAAAAATAATATATCTTGATGAGCAATAAGTTACTAATACAATAAATAACGGCTCGTGATGCTTCGATTACAAGCTTATATAACAATTCGTCCGTAATTTGTCCGTATTATTTTATTTTTCGCTTGTAAAATGCTTCGATCGGACTAATAAATTGTCGCACATTATCGATAATCCGGTTCTGGAAGATTTTTTGTTTTTTTGTTCTTTTTTTTTTATTTATTCAAACGGTAATTTCCCTTTTAAAATAAATTTTCTCGTTTTTATTGAACTATCTAGTATTCTCATTGCAGGTTAAATAATTGCTTGGTCGAAATGATGGAATTTATCTTACGATATCTGTTTATGATAGATGTTTTGCTACGTTCAATTTTAAAAGATAATTGTAAAATGGCTTGTGTGACAAGAACGTAATTTTTTAATTTATAACCTTTAATCTTTATAATTACGGCCTATTTCTAAGTAGTCGTTTGACTTTGAATTATTAAACGTCGAATATTTCGAGAAAAATAATCAAATAATCCTTTTGAGAATCATTGAAGCCGAACTGGTGAGGATAGGAGGTACGTTAGAATCCAAAATAATGTTAGACCAAGCTTTGAGCAAAGTTTTATGGACTTTATTGATCGATAATGTGGCTACGGAATCGATCCACGGAAATACATCATAAAGTAGCGCATGACAAACATTCGCCAGAGTTCAGACAAATTTTTAAGCCGAATACCCATTCAAATAACTCGACGTCCTCCGCATTCGATATTCTCTACCTTTCACCCCGATGCAAGTAGCCCATAACTCTTCCGCTTTTTCCATCAAAATCCACTCTCCTTTCCCCTGTCCCACTGGGCAACGTCTCCCCCGCATCGGTACGCGGCTAAAGCAAGCGAAAGGAAGATCCGCGACGGATAAGAGGCGAATCCCCCAGCCCTCCTATGAAGCGCTCGTAAAGCCGCAGCTTCGTCTTGGCATGTGGGCCTTATGCAAGTCGAAGTTCATCGGAACCCGTTATTCAAGCTGGAAATAATTAGGTTGGCCGATCGGCTTTTATGACACCTGGCCATCCGCGACTGTTTAATGTCACGGAGACCGACTACGGGGCTTAATACTACCCTGTGCGTATATTTTAATCCTACTTAGTCGTACAACGACAACGTTTATTAAATACCGAGGCTTAAAGAGGTCTTCAATCAGTTACGTCTGATAATAATTTATACCGAATTAATTCATTGCATCTACCCTTCTGACATACATATACATATACATATGTGTGCGTGTGCGTGCGTGCGTGTGTGTGTGTGTGTGTGTGTGTGTGTGTGTGTGTGTGTTTCTTTTCGTTGTTTCTTTCTCATAATTCACCGTCTGTTCGACCAATGCGTAATGTTCGCCTGTGGCGCTTAATGCCTACATCGACTGCCTTATTTAAGGAAAAAGGGAACCGATAAAGTTGCAGGATTCGATGTAGCGTCCTGCTAACTATCAATGGTACAACTACCGCGAGTCCCGCTCCTATCGTTTGTTTTTTTATCCGCAGCCAGTAGTGTCTGATTGGTCATAAGCCACTAAATTCCAATGTTTTCATATATTCCGCGATGATATTAATTTTATAACGCATAAATTGCACATATTAATGTAGGGAGGTGTATAATGCTGATGCTATTTATCTCTAATATTCCGTTTAGGAAGCTTGAGATACCCGAGTCGATTCCTGATCTAATATTATTAGCGATTTTCTCGCTAAGCGACACCCTCCCCCCGCCACAATAACAATAATATCAAACTTACAGCGAGGCCTCCTTGATTTGTAGGGCAAGGAGTGCCGCGGAGGAAGATACGAAGACGGGATCGGGTGGCTCCATGGCGCAGACGCCGAGGTCTCGGTGACGCTCGCGCTCCCTATGTCGCTCCGCTCGACACTCCATCCGGCCCCGCATCATCGTCTCCCTGTCGCGTTCGCAATCCGCGATCCGGGCGCCGAGAGGCGCCGTTCGTCGCGTTCGCTCCTGGTGGTCTCGCTCTCTCGCCATGTCCGCCAGCGGCAGACTCGGCGACACTGCAGAAACAAAGAGGAAATCGGTTAATGTATATCGTCGTTTTGGCTTCCTTTCTGAATGACTCGAGACAGCTGTAATGGATTAATGAATTAAAAATAGATAGCGACTTTGCGCCGTATAAATTGAAATTTTGTTGAAGAATAATGTAAAGAGCGTTTGGGGGGAGCGGGGGGGGGGGTGAATCGATGAATTAAGTACTGCTGAATACTTATTTAATAAATATTAATATGAAGAAGATTAAGAATGATATGATATAATTTAAAAATGCCTTTTTAAACCTATGTTCCTGGTATAATATATTATAAATGTATATAGTATTTGTTTGTGGTAAATACGAAAGGCTCTTTTAACCTCAATTTATTGCAACGTTTTGCAGTGTAACCGTTGACTTAACACCCACGATCAGAAACAACAGTGATAAATAGTGTACCATTTCTCGCGTGATACATTAAATTGATTCAAGTATAAATCTATGGTTATTTCGAATTACTCTATGAACGCTCGTTAATATCGGATTAAGGACTCAATTTTTTCTGCGCCATCAGCAAGTACTTCCGTAATTGTTTATTTGTCCAATGAAGATCAAGCAAATTTCAAACAGTCAAAGCTTAAAATACAAATACAATGAGAAATCGGAGAGAAAAATTTGTTTGACTGGCAATTTGTTTCAATGTAAAATATGTAATAAAAAATTGTAATATAAAATATACAAAAGTGCCTATAAAAGTTCTGAATAAATATTAGTACGGAGCCATTATTTGTAAGCACAATTGTATTTGTGCCTGATAGATAACAATTTTTAAATTATTTCATAATACGCGATTCGCCGCTCGAGAAATTAGATAATAAAAGACAAAACAAAAAACAAAACAAACAAAACAAACAAAAAAAACAAAAGAAACAAAGTTAAAAGAAAAATGTACAGAGCCTAAGAATTATAACGCGCTATTCTTTAAAAACAGACGAGATTGCATCTCGATCGCCCTGGTGGTCTCGAGCAATTCCAAATGGCTACACATTAAATACTTATGTAATATGATATTCTTGCATTTAGGAATCGTAAGCTTTCGCGCGCTCTTGTATTGGACAAGCCGAGCGTCTTAAACATTAATTTAATTACGCCAAGAACTTGTTATGTATTCGCTTTTCTTTCGGCGCGCATAATGAGAACTCCGCGTTTCAATGTGATATCCCGAAGGTGCATCGCTTGCGCAACAGACGCAATTTATAAGCGCACCGCGCGTCTTAATCATTAAGGAGGGCCGATCGATCTTGCTCGAGCCAACGCTATAAAACAGTAGTGCACTGTTCGTCGACGTAGCGCTTAAGTTCAAGTATTAGCGAGCCTAGGCGTCCTCGCGGGAGAAGCAACGAGCTCGTTCGAACCGGCTAAAAGCTCACATCCGGGCGAAGGGAAAGCGCGACATCATAGGGGTGAAACGGTCGAGCAAGAAGTACGTCGAGCCGTCGGTCGATAAAGGTCGCGCGATACTTATTTATCGTACCCCCATGACGCTTCGTAATTTACGGATGAGCAGGTGCTTGCGCATGCGTTCGGCCTCTCGGCGCTCGATACCAGGAATCGCGAAAATATTAAATATCAAAGGCCAGAGAGGTGTTAAAATTTTTAAACATCGATAATTAATGGCCCCAACAAAGGATTATTATACGAGTAGTGCAGCAGTCGCCATATAATGCTAATATACAATAGAATGGGAATAGTCACGAAAATGTTAATTTCGTAGCGACCATGTGTTTTATATTGATTAAAAAGTCATAATTATCAAAAAACTTGCGTAGCGTTTGATAGAATTGTTTATTATGTTACGTGATAAACCAACGAGATGAATTATTTGCAAATCGAAAAGCTGACGTTAGCCTCGTTACCTGAATATTAACCGTTAATTGTGCTTGTGTAAAATTCCAAAGAGATTATCGATCATTTGCACCGGGATAAAGTTATATTTAAGATATCGGGGAGATTTTGCAAATGCAAATTCTTAGGCTAGACTCCCTTCTTATCAAACTAGTAAAAGATTAGCTCGAGCCATACTTTGAAAACCAGTTGCCGGTATGAGCCCTGTTATTCACAGAGCTACGACCATTTCTGCACACGATTATGCCAGAGAAGCATTTATCCAATGTATTGTTTAAGACTGGCGGCCCCCTATTCTCTTCGTGCCGTTGCACGTTTCTTAAACGAGCGCATTATATTTTAAATGCCGCTTAATGGCTCAGCATCCGACGAAACACGAGCCCATCAACCAACGAAACAATGTAGCGATAATTCCAGAAGAACACGGCGCGAGGACGTACGCGTTAACGGTAAGCAGCCGGGAAATCCGATAGCCGCGCTCGCAAATCCGCTCGGAATGATCCTATAGGAGCCGGGGATTGACAGTGAGCGCGCGCTCCGATAGATTTATTTAACGGGCGAGCAACCGCTTATAACGTAATGCAGCCGCGAGCGAGCTTCAATTTTCGTCGAGTTGGATAATTTACGCCTTAACTCCCATAAATTACCGGGCATTGAGGCGCGACGAAATAGCAGCGACGGGGGCGGTAAGAGGTTGGTGGGGATGCAACGGTCGCGCCCACTGCCCTCAAAATGAAATTAACGAGAGCGCGAAAAAGATGATAACTAGAGGGGTTGTTGTTGCTGCTGCTGTTGTTGATGATGTTTGTTTGCGTGGTAGCGAAGGAGGAAGAGTAGGAGGAGTGGGAGGATATTATTGCGATCGCTCTTGCCAAGATGCCGACACGACAATTATTATGGCAAACTACTCTCTTGATAATGAATTCTGTTGGTAGAATAATTACAGAATAATAGAATTCCCCGATCTTGCGTGGCTTATCGGCCTTTGAACGATACGCTCCCGACAATTCTACAATATATTCTTAACCGCGCGATACAATACATTTAGATGATCCCAGCATTATATAACGATTTGTCGACGCGCCATGTGGCTGCTAAATACAACTGTCGCCTTACCGGAAGAGGCACGGACTGACAGCGCCGTTTCATTTTATATTCCAGTGGCGTGTCGATACTAGGATGCGATCGACCCTTACCACGGCAAACTATTGCGATATTTCGAGAGAGATACGTTTAATCTTCGGTCTCGCACCAATGTTTTGTCATTCTCCCTACTCCAATTCCCATTGCCGGCCTGATAAAGTCGCTACGACCTTTAAAATGCAGATAGCAATGGGCTTGTGTCGATAGACGCTTGTCCGGGCGTCGCGCACCTTCTTCTCTACGCAATTTACCGAGCCGTCGTTGGGAGCTTGACACGCGGCTGTCGATTTACCGAGTAGCTTTTACAATCGCAGTAACGACCTCACCTGGCAATGCTTGACCGAGAACTCGGGGAATCCTCTATCGAGCCGATGCTCCGTACGCTAAATGCTAATATGCTCGGGAGGTAGATTCTCTTCCTCGTACGATGAAAACTTTTTCACGTAAATCATCATAAATTATATTTTCATTGTCTCACAAATTCTTGCATATAATTTACGGTGTGCAAATCTTATTGGATATATTTTCGACAGCGTTTATTAGTTAAGAAATAAAAGACCCGGTAAATCCAACTACTTTCGATGTAGTACAAAGCACCTGTCTCTATTGCTTCAAATATCATTGGCCTATTGTGCTCAATGCCATTTCTAAAGAGCGCATTATTCCATATGCTTGAACAATCCCACCGAATTATTTATGCATTATTTACGCCACATGATTGCAAACATTGTATGAAGATTAGTTATAGAAAGTACTGAAATATTAAGTTATTGATTTGTCGAGAGATTTCCGAACACCACGAATATTAATAGACAATGCATCGGACTTAATAGGTAATTCAAGCACTGAATGACGTTATTTATTATGCATTTTTGCTTTTTGCAAAGAAAGAGAGAGAGAGAGAGAGAGAGAGAGAGTAATCAAATTTAGTGAAAAAGTAAAATAAAAGAACAACGATTATACGAAATTATGCATGTAAGTATCAAAACATTAGCCAATACACTGTATACTAATAATGTAAAAATCTAACCTTTCCATTGAAATATCATTATTTTAAACTATTACATTATGATAACATGGCGCCTTTCTCATTTTCTGTAATAATTTTCGAAAATTATTGTTATTAGAATAACTCTTTTGCTATATTTTTTCTCAAGATAAATGCTTAATAATCTAATTCCATGTTTCAAAAGAGAGCTTGTCATGTAATATAGTAAGGCTTAAAAGATAGCTCCAATTTTCTTTACTTCAAAAGCAACTCATGAAAGTGTGAATTTTTATGAGATTATCTAATTATTATATCATTATTATCATTAACTAATGATTATATAGCATCTTTTTATATCGTACATTAACAAAGCTGCAATTTTTGAATTTATTAAATAGATAGGCAGTGAGGGGCGATGGGATGGAGGGGTTGAAGGAGGAGGAGGAGGAGGAGGAGGAGGAGGAGGAGGAGGAAATCAGTCAAACACAAAGTAAGAGCAAAGTAAGCTGGGAAAACAGGCTATTTATCGACACGCATAAAATTGCGCATTTTTCCAAGTGCCGCACTTACCTGTAACGTCTCGAAGTATTTACAGATTAAGACATCCCCATCATAATTTAAAAGCTTTTCTACGCTCCGGCGACATCGCGCACTTGGCTCTAACTCACCTGTTGTGGTATTTCCTTCATCCCCCTCTCTTTATCAGTCTCTCTCATCCTCGCGTTTGTCCGTCTCGCTTGCTTCTTTATATCGAGCCCGCATCTACGATCCACGCGAACACTTTATTGATTTATCATTCGTTCGTAATCTATACAGGCGGTAATGTAACTTAACTGCGGTCAAACATTTTTGCTGTCTCGCTTCTCCACGGATAAAACAACCCCGATTTTTTCATTTGTTAGTCATTTATCGCGCGCGCTACATCAAATGCAATGAAAACGCTCGTGCGATCAAGGCGTTTGCGGCTAGTGATAAATTGGTGTTGGATGCGCGTAGATCTAGCCAATTAAAAACAATAACATGCTGTATTCAGATTTTGTTACAAAATGAAAATTTCCTTGCCAAGGCATTTTAAGGGATTCGTTGTTTACGAATTGTCAATTATATCGATGAATACACGCTTATCCATCCATTACGATTCGATTTAATTTTCGAGGTTGTGAATTTCATTATCACTCATCGAAACATCTACAACGGCCATACTTTAAGAATCAAATTATTAATTATTTACAGTAATTTGCATTGTTTGCATGATGTTCGTTGTAATTTTGCAACCCAAATATACAAGCACTATAATATAAGACTATTTAATCCCACTATCATAAAGATAAACGAAAACAATATTATTTATAGTAATGCAAAAAATTATTAGCAGAATTATGATAAAACATTCGATTCATTCTACCGAAATAATATCGATAATGGATTTCTTTTAATCGGATTTCTGTACAGTTGTTGCAGTTACACGCTACAATCATTATCTTAGATTGCAAACACGATATAAAATAATAAATTATGAACTATTTAAGAGATTAATGGAAGTTTATTATAAGATTTTTGCATAATATGGAGGACCACTAAAACGAAACACAACATCAATACTCGTAATAAAAATACAATTTTCAAATCGGCTTCTTATATTCCGGCTTTGACGTTTCGGAGCCTTTCCACTGGTGATCAACTCCTACATCTTATGTATCTATAGAATAAGTTACTTAGCTACATCTATCTACCTTCCGAGAAAGTAAGTCAGACTTTTCGATTGCGAAAATCGTACAATTGTTCGTGTAATATAGAACAGCATAATAAAGAGAGGAGGGTGGGAGTCCTCCCCCGCGAGATCGGCGCTATATCTTCGACCGGAGCCGTCGTGGGAATATTGATCGATGCGTGGGCGTCATCGCATAATGCGTGGATATACCGATACGCATAGTAGGTGAAAATTGCTCAATTCTCCCGTTTGATACTAGCAAACCTGATATCGATATGTCGTTCGCTGTTTATTCGTCAAACTTTTAAACATCTTACTATTATTCGTGTAATTACCGAAACGAAAGAAGCCTTGTTAAAAATTTTAATGTACTCGGCTGGATGTTAATTGCATCGAGGGCGTGAATCATAGTGAAAGGACGATTTAGCAAGTAATTGGTATGAATCATTCTGCCATTGTAACTCATTTTTCTTTTTAAGACTTGGTCTAGGTATGCAAAGTTCCTACGCATTTGAGTTATTCGTGCTTTAAAAAGTATTAACCATTTTCTATATTGACTAGCGAGCAAAGACGGTAGTTTATTATAAAGTCTATGATTATAGAGTTCAGCGTATAAAAATGTTTAACGATAATCTCATATTGCTGAAATATATCTTTAAATTCGCGCGAAAATGCTAAAGTGAATATGAAAGCCAATCGTCGAATTTATGAAAATTTATGATTCCAATTAAAAGACGCGAGAAAAGTGGATAATACATTGGATTCTAAATGACCTAAAATTGATAAATCATTATGTAAGTGACTCGGCGACACTTTAATATATTCGCTGATAATGCAAATTTAAAGAGAACAATTATTATTTATGTTAAGCGTTTGTTTCGTAATCCTGACAAGTGCCGTAGCCCTTCTAATACGTACAGTGAGATAATTGGGTCCGTGGCGAAAGTGCTCCTGCTGTACAAATACATCTTACTTTTTATCAAACTACTAGGTGGACCAAAAATATGTCTGTAATTTTTGTCTCTATATTGTGTGCGATTTATATGCTTCACTCGGTGAAGCCGAGTAAAAACATTGACTGCCAGTTATTTGGATTAGCGAAGTAAGTGAATAATAGTAGATATGGGGGATGAAGAATTTTCGTACGCAGCGCCTTTATTTATATTATTACACGACTTCGTATATGCTCGATGATTTTCTTAGATGCTTAATTTAGTCGAATTATTTGGGCTTCTTGTATGCAATATACTCTTATCATAATTACCAATATAAATATACATTTTAATATACACTATTATACATATAATTTTATGATCATACCGGATAAGATAGTAATAAGCATGCCTAATGTATTTTTTAATCTTAACGTAAAACTTATTAAAATTATCTCTTTTTCATTTAACAGCCTAAAAATTAGCAAACTATTTTGTATTTCATATGCTCGCAAACATATTTCTACATTTTTTATTTCATTTAATTTTATTGTTGTTGTTGATATTTTTATTTACATTTTACTTAATTTTTATTTAACTGTAATAATACTCTCATTATTTCGAAGCTCCCGCTGAAGTCCTTAGAAATTATATTTATTTCATTTTGTGCATGATAATCGAGAAAAAATGTTATTTATTGCAATTATGACTTTGTGTGAATTCTGCCACGCTCTTACTTAGTTAGAGATCTTCGAAGACAAGCACAAAAATGTTAATATACTAGATCACTAAATTTCTTGAAGTGAGAATGCTGTTTCTCATTCATTTTGACTGGTATAATCACTTTAATGGGATAACTTCTCACTGCAATCAAAACGAAAATACCATACCATTCTTCAATTTTGAAGATTTATCAGGCATATCAGCATTTACGTAGAAACTACTCTATAATCTATTAGAATTCGCTATTAAATGCGTGATCACGATTGCTCGGTCAGTGCTGCACAATCGATTTTTCTAATAGCGAGCAACCTTATTATTAACATGGGATAAAGAAGAAGGAAATAGAAATTATCGGAAAAAATTTATGGAATGCATTAGCTGATTAAAATAATTTAACATATTTATATGAAATTATAAGGCTTCGATTATACAACTGATTCGATTTTCGTATTGTTTAAGGACCCGATTGATTAATTAATAATTATAATTGTTTAATTGTATTGTCGGGACAATAATATGGAATCTTAAGTATATTTATGAAATGTTAGTTTCATAAAATGTCTTTATGCTCTCTAGCCTCTTACTGAGATTTGAATTGAAATTCTCAGTAATGAAATGTACGTTACTATCGTGTGAAATCCTTAAAAGCTTATGCAGCACTTTCAGGCTTCTTAAAAATTAAAGTGCAAGTAAATTCAATGCCTGAGCTTCGTTGTCATAGTCCAAGCAACAGTGTAAGAACGAGAGATAGGATAACCAGACGGAGGCGATATGGAAAACTGACTTGAAATACTCGCGGGGTAAAGAGGAAAGTTATGGTAAGGTCAGCGGCTACGTCTCGTGGCCGTAAAATTAATTCGTTCGGATAAAGTGCTGTTGGAGGAGCGGCAAACAAAAAGGATAAACTATTATTCGCCCATTATTTGCATTCGATACCGCGACGAAGGTATCATTTTGCGTGCGCGTGAGAAAATGCCGGTGTTAGAGTTAAAGCGATAGGCCGAGGGAGAATTTACCTCGATAAGCTCAACAACTCGTGAGTTTGAGTGTGCGTGTCGTAGGGATGGACATAAGAAATGATGAGATAACATCGTTTCTTCACTCAATGAGCGATGTAATGTTGTATTATGCAAGGATAGAACAAAATTCAAGCATAATTTGATGCTACTCGGACAAATCTTCTTTCGTTGATTCTGATCGAGATACAATTCACAAGTGTTTGAGGTATAAGTAACTAACGACTCATTTGTTGGTCACTTTTATTCCAAAGTCGTTCGATATTCACCAATATTTACTAAACAGCATGTATATTGTCATTATTAGAATTTAATGTTTCGATATTTTCAATCTTCTCTAGATTCTAAGTATGATATTCTTAATGCACTTGTTTTAAACTATTGAACTTACGATATTTTCAGAGTTAGTAAAATTAATTGAAAGGTTTCTTAATAAAAAAAAAAAAAAAAAAAAAAAAAAAAAAAAAACATTTTTATATATATATGTGTGTGTATCAAATTAATCATAATACAATAAACATTAATTCTTATACACAATTTTTTATTAATTTCTTAAAATATATAAAGTTATTTGAAAAAATAAATCCTTTTATTAACTATGCTTAATACAAAGACCATATAAAGAATCTTTAAAATATTATATTATCCATAAACTGTATGATAGTATCTGTATTTAGAGAAGAAATTTTAATAAAATCGATCAATTGACTCCTCATTACACTAATCATACATTCAATTATTAAAAATGTTGATGACGATACATATCACATCATTAATGTATTTAATGTAAAAATATTAAAAAAAAGTTTGACTTTTTTTGGGAAAAGCGAATGGCTGTTGTATATATTTAATGAATACTCATTTTTATTACAATATAACCGTTCTTTTTTTTTCATTTCATTCACTGAATGTCAATTGTTTTCTGAAAAATCTTTAAAGATTTAAAGGCTATAATACATAAGGCCTTTCTTACTTTAATGGATTCAACTTGGTTATGATTACTTCTCTCTTACTTTTACTTTATTTTCTCTTTCAATTTATTGCATTAATACAAATATAAAGAATCATGACAAAAGTAAGATGATTCTTCCGAAGAAATTTATTACTTACGTTTTATTTTATTTTATTACATTCCTTTTATTGTATCAACATGATGTATGCAATACTATTATAATGCATAATAAATAATAATAAATTATGAAGTATAATAACGAACAATAATTAATATATGAAAATAAGTAACATCTACAATAAAATTATTTACAGTTAATATAAATAAATTGTTATATAAGAATATCTTTAGATTTTCATTATATTCAGAAACAAATTTTCTAAATAAAGAATTTTCTAAATGTTATTTATATTATTATAATTTTATCTAAAGACAGAATAGTTTTTAAGAATTGACAAGACTTGAGTATTGTATGAAAATAATATATCTTGTAAGAATATTGTATACAAAAACAGGAATGTGTCATAAAATTCTTGTTTAAGGTGTAATAACCTAAATAACTATTAAAAATATTTCTACTAGATGATCTTGCTTCGTTTCAAAATTGTATTCCATATGAAAAATATTAAACTCTTTGTAGCATTTAATTTAATCAATTATTTCATTGATCTTATCAGGTTGAGTCGATTGCTGCGGCATTACTAGAACTACTAACCAAAAGATGCTAGTTCAAAATAATAATTGGCTATCGAGGAAAGTTGCGGGAACGTTAGTGTAGATCGATAAAAAGACAAAGCCAAGCGAGCAAATCCATTAAATGCACTTAAATGCGTTTTGCATAAGTGGTAGTACCCTTACGTTTTCTTCATTTGCATAGGTATGTGACTCCCGCGTGAAAACTGCTTTTAATGATCGGGATTGCAAAGTATACGAAAGCAAAAGCGGTATGATTGAGCCAAAGTGGTGTAATTGATTTAAAGTTGCGCCGGTGATGACTCCTTTTACATCTTTTTTTTCGCATTTCCGCGGAGTTCATCGCGATTCGTTACACGTTCAACTTTCGGCGTGTCAGGCTCGTGTTGACTCTTCTTTTTACTTTTTTTTTCTTCTTTTTTCTTTTGTAATATAGATTTTTTGGAAAGAAAATTAAGTTTACTATTTTTCATTTGTGTGTGTGTGCGCGCATGTGTATATCAGTTTTAATAATAAATTATTATAAAAGTATTAGATTAAAAACATTAGAATGATCGCTTAGTTATTGATTAAGGGATATTTTTATGTATTTCCAGCAGATACATTAGACAGATTTTCATAATAATTTGTGCAACATTTATCTTATCTTGTAATATTTGTACATACACGCACATGCTCGCACACAGGCGCACACAAATACAAAAAAACCAAGCAAGAACAAACACATTCTTTATGATTAAGAATGAAATTCTATATGCTAATACATTTTGGTAGTAGTGATATAAAATTTACGCGATACTTCTTAATTGTATTTTTAACATAATTTCTATAATTATTATAATTTTTTTTTCTACAAAAACTTAATGTAATAATACGTTAATGTAATAATGATTACTATATATTGTATTTTTGTTTTTTAGCGATAATCTATTAGAATAATTAAATTAACGAGCTTGATAAGATCGTCTCTCAATATTCTAGGCGTTAAATATAATTTTCTTAACCACGTATATGTTTTTCTTTTCTCAAAGAGATTTTAATTACTTGATTCTCGAATGATGTATTTATTTGTTTAATGGTTAAAAATCATAGATTCTTACTTGATTGTTATTGCTCTATCAGCAAAAAAACAATAATATCGAAAATAATAGTGATAGCCAGAATGGCAATGATAGCAAATAATATCGATTGGCACTTGATTAGTAAGTACGCGTGATCGCACATGAGGTGCCTCGAAAAATCTCCGCGACACATACCGTATTAGAAAAAGAGGGAGACGCGGTGATACGTAGTAAGATCACGAGGGATATTATTGCGTATGTGGATTTGATATTTCATCAACGGGGCCCGCTAAGTGTAATGGCGCTCGTGCAACAATTAAAGCGGCGCCCATTAATTGGTAACTCTTAACGGCCCACGTAAGATCCGATCGAATTATTGGCGCTCGTTTTGCGCCGCTCGCGCACCACATTAATACGGAAATTAGGCCAATGACGAAAACAAGCCGCGCACCCAAGACAATTTGTACGGGCGATAATGGCCGCTCGATACGCGCCGAGGTTTGCTTTCGCAAACCCCATCGCAACTTCCACTGTCAGCGTCAGCTGCACGCTGATTTATTTGCCCGCGCTCCATCCTCACCGCGGCATTTCCAAATGATGATTTCGATCGTTTCGCTAAGATGTCGGATAAGGTTTTTACAAGATCAATGAAAATTACGCCACGAGAATTATATAGTGAAATTTAGCGCTCATCGTTCTTGTATAATTCATTCTTGTAAATTCAGTCGACGTTTGATGAAGCTTTGAACAACCAGACGAAGCTCTGTTATATTAATACCGGCTTCCTATTTTCTATCTCCATTCGGTAAAATAATTGATTTTACATTTTACATGTTTATTGGGTCGGAATATTGGAAGGGATAGTTTTCGAGACAAATTCGATGGAGGGTCGATAGACTCGGGACAATCAAGCTTTTGTCTCTTTACCACGATATTGCATTTGACATTCGTAGCTCGTATTTAATTAGCCCAAGTAATATCAGTTCCGAGGGTATTTTTAATCCTAGTCGAAGAGCATCGTCAAATTGACCATAAGTGCATTAAGTTTTTTCAAACCGGCACACATTTAAATTATTAATTTTTCGTGCTGTTATTTTTCGTCGAGCTAATAGCACCGCCTCCCCTCGCCGTCATTCAAGGGCACTCAAAACGCTCGATTTTCGCCCCGAGGTGAGAAGATAAATATCCTTCGTGTCAGCGAAATCCAAGATGGAACAACCCATCTTTCGATTCATCGTAATTTTTACGAGCCGGGCGCGCTTTTCCAAAGTGGCCCTCGTCATTACGATAGGAGAACAATGACTTTGGCGCTCGGCACTTGGCCTCCGCGGGCTCATGCCGATTCGCGATTCGCGATACCGAGGCGCGCGTATCAAGTGGTTCCGATTGTTCTTGCACAATGGATTATCCTCCCTCCTCCATTTGCTTTCAGCGGGTAGTTTATCATCGCGGTAATTGTCCGCCTCGGCGAAGTGC